AGTGTTCATAGATGACATTCTGATTTACTCAAAAAGCTAGGAGGAGCATGGCAGACACTTGCGAGAAGTGTTAGAAGTCTTGAAGAAAGGAGAAGCTGTATGCTAAGTTCTCAAATGTGATTTTGGATTCGTGAAGTCCAATTCTTGGGTCACGTGGTCCACCAAGAAGGGATAATGGTTGATCCAGCGAAGATCGAAGCTATGATTAAGTGGGAACAACCGAAAAGTCCCACGGAGATCCGAAGCTTTTTAGGATTAGCCGGATATTACCGAAGGTTTATCCAAGGCTTTTCTTCGATCGCTACTCCATTGACAGCTTTGACCCGCTACTTATGCTTGGAGTGAGAAGCATAAAGAAGCATTCGAGAAGCTAAAGAAGAAGCTATGCGAGGCACCGATACTTTCTCTACCCGATGGAGTTGAAGACTTCGCTGTTTATAGCGATGCGTCTGGGGTTGGATTGGGTTGCGTTTTGACCCAAAGAGAAAAGGTGATAGCATATGCGTCTCGACAACTGAAGGAGCATGAAAAGAACTACCCGACTCATGATTTGGAGTTGACAGCGGTAGTTTTCGCTCTGAAAATATGGAGGCATTACCTCTATGGCACGAAGTGCAAACTTTTCACTGATCATAAGAGTCTCCAATATCTCTTCAATCAGAAGGAATTGAATATGAAGCAACAACGCTGGCTAGAGTTACTCAAGGACTATGACTGTAAGATACTTTACCATCCCGGTAAAGCTAATGTTGTTGTTGATGCTCTCAATCAGAAAGTCAATCTTGAAAGGAAAAGGCCAAGAGCATTGAGAATTGAAGTTGTCTCGACTATTTTGGAAAGTATAAAGAAAGCTCAAAGCGAAGCTTCTGAAAAGAATGACCGAAAGGAGGAACGTTTGGGCAAAACGTTAGTGTTCGGTGTAAACAGTCATGGACTGAAGGTGTTCCAAGATCGGATTTGGATACCTAAGATAGGAGGAGTCAGAGATCTTCTGATGGAAGAAGCTCACAAGACCATGTATTTGATTCATCTCGGTAGCACTAAAATGTATAAGGACCTAAAACCCTCACTACTAGAAAAAAGGCCTTTTACGACGCTCATTGCGCGTCGTAAAACGCTCAGACGACGCGCAAATGCGTGTCAAGGAAGGCCCTGTCATAAAGAGAGACGACGCGCATTTACGACGCGCATTTATGACGCGCATTTACGACGCTCGGTTACGACACGCAATGCGTATCAAGGAAGGCCCTGTCATAAAGGAAGACGATACGCATTCGCATGTCGTAACCTTACGACGCGCGTGTTAATGACACGCAATGCGTATCAAGAAAGCCTCTGTCAAGAAAGGCCATGTCATAAATGAAGATGACACGCATGTTTGCGTATCATAATTTTAAATGTTAAAAAAAATTTATTTTTTATAGATTTACTAATTTTCAAATTAAATTTGCATTTAATGCCTCACAATATAAAATAAAATATCATATACAAAAAATATAATCCATTTCATAAAATTTAATGTCTTACAATTCTATTTCTTACAATATATAAATTTACATGTAAAAACATCTCTACAGTCTACATGTTTCATGCTTGATTTCCATCTTTTATCGTTTTTAAAAACAAAAGTTCTAACAAGAAACCTTCTTTTAGTAATGCAAGTGATGCTCTTGATAAGCTGATATTCTTAAGTGTAACGATCCCTCATTACTTGGAGATGCTGGTGAGCTTGAAATCCAAATTAAACCTGATCCAGAAAAAGGGACAAACAACTATCAGTAAGCAATCAAGTTCCAAATTAAAACATTAAGTCATGTAATACCAGTTGATGTATTCAGAAGATTTGATGGCCGACTAGTTGAGAGCATCGTGCCTGTATCAGGGGCAATTGTGGAACATAACGTAAGAATCTTTGGTTGGTTAAACCCATCAAACCATGAACCCTAAAATCCATTCCAGTAAGCTTTCCATTTAGCTCTGGCAAGACCTTTCCCACAACCTATTTTTTTTTTATAAAATATAAAAAGATTTATAAAAAAGAATATAAAAATTTACAATTTCATTTTATATAAGAATAATATATACCTTGGCAGCAAATGACAAGAAACAAGATTTATAAAAAAAGATTTATAAATCTTTTTTTATAAAAAGATTTATAAAAAAGACATAAAGGCCCTCCTAATCCTTATCATCAAATGCAATACAAATGACAAGAAACAAGAATAAGTCTACCTCGCATATTGTTACAACATCTATTTTCAAAGATTTCACAGAAGCATCAACTTCCAAAGCATGTTGTAAGTCCAAGTTTCTATCTTTTTCTACCAACACTTGGACCTAAAAAAACACCCATCAACAACTATAAATTATAATCAATCAAAAGACAACAGATAAGAGTTGACTAATTTAAATTGTCAGTTGACTAACAAGACCATATGAGATTCTTGGTAGGCCAAAAGGGTCATTAGTTGAACTTGGTTGACATCCTGCTCCAAACAACCCAACTAGGCTATCTAACCTACCAAATTCATGAACAAAAAAAAAACAATTCAAAATCATCAATTAAGAAAATAATAAAAATAAAAATAAAAAAAAAACATTTTACCTATCTAAATCAACGGACCAGCCCTGATTGTATATAATATCCATGATGCCAACTCATGAATAAAAAAATAACAGCTTTTTAGTTCTAGGGGTAAAATAGGAAATTAAGTTTCTTCCTAGTTTTTGTGTTAGAGTCAAACTCATTATGTGTCTAGTATAAATATAGGTCTGTGTTGCATCTTTATTTGTATTCAGAATCTTCTTTGTTTTGCTTATTAAGGAAGAGACTTTGGCACCAAGTAATTATCCTCTGTTCCGGTTTTTTCTTTCCTTTCTTGTTCTTGTTTTGCTTGAGTTTAAAGTAGATCCTTGGTGCAAGTGCAGGCAAGTATGATTGTATGTAGAAAAACACTAATATAAACTTGCTGACCTGATACATCTTGCTTTGATGCAGCATCTACATCATCGGTTAATATTGAAGGCTTGTGCATTAATGAAGACAGAAGTTTCTTTGAAGGCATTTCAGGGTTTTCATAGGAAGAGAATGATGCAGAGTAAGATTGAGAAATAACTGAATGGTCAAGTGATTAGGTTCACGTTTGCACACAGTCCATTCACAAATTTCGCAACCTGAAAGAATTACATTACATCCATCCATCAGATGTCTAAATATAACATAAATAAACAAACATCACTTGCAGTTGTAGCTTTTATACCTCAGATGTTGGAATATTTGGAAAAGAGGCACCAAGAAGCTTAATAGTGTACTCTCTCTGTCTCTCACAAACATCCCGTTGTTTGGATACGGATATGAAACAGTTGATGTGTCCCACAAAGGCTCAGTTAATGACCTAGATTCCACCTACAATTATTTGCCACATCAACATATATTATACTCCTATATACTTGCATATGATTCAAATAAAAAGTAGACTAGAGATGATATACATACCAGGCAGAATAAGTGCTGCAGCACCAACATATGCAGGTTAAATCCCAGTTTATGGAAACTGTCGGTCATCACATCAAATATTTCTTGCACAATCAGCAAAAAATAAGCCCGATAAAATTGATTACAAAACTCCGAGTTCCTTGCAATCAAAATCAAATAAAAAATATGAAATAAAACAGATTAAAATAGCGAGGTTTTAATAATGAATTGTAGTAGTAGTAGTGGTACCTGAAAGTTTTTAAGCATCTCCAACTTGTGATAAAATATTCGCTTACTATTACAATAGAAACCTGCAATTAGATAACAACAAGTGTTATAATTGAGTAAACTCATTTACAAATTACTCATTTATGTATAACTTGTTGGAAATCAGGCCCTCTTTTGTCAACTGCAAAACAAAGATTCAACCTTCTTTTGTTACGTGAGGAATATGATGAAGAAGAAGAAGTAATTGTGACTCAAACGGCTGCACATATTATTCAGAAAATAAAAGGCTTTTATAGCCTACATACCCTAATGAACCCTAAACAAACTAAAATCAACTAAAGGAGAACAAGCCCATGTTTTTCCCCTTTTCCAGCTCCTAATACTTGGTCCACATGACCCATTCAATTGAAGACCCAAAGTATTTACTTTACTAAATAACAAAGACTAACATACTAATTAAATAAACCTGTCAAGATTAAATAAATCCCAACATTCACCCCCTTAATATTGACAATCTGCATCCTACTTCTTTATCACCTTGAAGTCAGTTCTTGCAAGTTTTCTCTCTTCACGAAATACTTGCCACAAACATCACAAAGTTTGCACACTTGCATACAAAAGAAACACCCTTTGCTGCTTGCTTTCTTACTACATACTTTTCAAAGTTTCAAAACTTTGTTCGATCAATTTTTTTTTTGTGATGACCCTACGGTCTTACTTTCATTCTCAGACAACCCACTCTCGGTCTGGAGATGCCCTGCTCTTTTGCAGCTCTATGGTCTTCAGTCTAGGTGCCACCCGGTCTTGAAGCTTCCCGTTCGGTCTTTGCTTCTTTCTTTCTTCTTTCTATCTTCTTTCTTCTTTCTATCTTCTTTCTTTCTTTCTTTCTTTCTTCTTTCTATCTTCTTTCTTCTTTCTTCTTCTTTCTTGCCTGCAAACATATGACAAGTTTATGCTAAAGATGATCGGCCTTGCTCCTTTCATACTTTCTTTGATCATCAAAGGTGATCAAACTTGCTGCTTCAACCGGCTTGCTTGTTTTCTTCCTCAACAGCCATTTTCTGCTATCTCTGGGATCGAACAAGAACAACCACAACCGGACTTTCATCTGTCAACACCATTGTGAGCCATTAACACCACAGCAGAAACCGGAACACACCACAGCCAAGAACCACCCTCGATTGATCCTCCTTTCTGTGTTTCTTTCTTTCTGCAGAAAGCAACAGCCAACAGGTTGCATGTCACAATATTCTTTCTTTCTTCTTTCTTCTTTCTTCTTTCTTTCTTTCTTCTTTCTTTCTTTCTTTCTTTCTTTCTTTCTTTCTATCTTCTTTCTTTCTAGCAGCATTCGCTGCTGTAGCAGCCAATCTTCAATTCTTCATGTGATTAACATGAAATCACCCCACCAGCTTCTTCTTTCTTTCTCAGCCCTACAGCCAAGGGCTGCTCCTCCTTTCTCTACACCGACTCTCAAACCTGCTTGCTTCTAAACGAGCCCTAAGCTCTGATACCAATTGTTGGAAATCAGGCCCTCTTTTGTCAACTGCAAAACAAAGATTCAACCTTCTTTTGTTACGTGGGGAATATGATGAAGAAGAAGAAGGAATTGTGACTCAAACGGCTGCACATATTATTCAGAAAATAAAAGGCTTTTATAGCCTACATACCCTAATGAACCCTAAACAAACTAAAATCAACTAAAGGAGAACAAGCCCACGTTTTTCCCCTTTTCAAGCTCCTAATACTTGGTCCACATGACCCATTCAATTGAAGACCCAAAGTATTTACTTTACTAAATAACAAAGACTAACATACTAATTAAATAAACCTGTCAAGATTAAATAAATCCCAACATAACTAAGCTTCTGTAGACAAATGACTATTAGAAGTAGAATAGAAAACCATGTGTTTCTTAATAGGGATGTCCCGTTCCTTCTCATATAACCCAGAGATACTTAATATTTAAAAAAAATAGAAAATGTGCATAATAGTTTGATACAAGTATGGCTAACATCTTCATTCTATCTGTGAAAATATATCCGTATAATGGGTGATTCAAGCACTCAAAACAAAATTAAAAATTAAAAATGTGAAGTAGAAAAAATGAAACGAACCTGCTGGCCAGTGATGTAAACATTAGTTTCCTTAAACTAGGAGTGGGACCCACCAAGGTCTTCATTAGAGGTGGAATTGGCAGCTGAACCAGGGTTATAACCAGCAGGGGCTGCTGAAGAATATGGTCCATAGCTTCCTTTGTTTATTTAAGCAAGCTTTGAAGCATACCTGAAAAGTGGTTGTTAAAGAAAAATGGCTCAAGTAGCGATACCGCCTCCTCATGGCTTCTGACTGTGTGACACTCTCCAATTGCAAAATCTTACCACTAATCCTGCAATTTTGTGAGAATGTAACCTTCGGTTACTGTATACCAAAAAAACCGATGTAAGCTTGAATGAAAGTAGAATCGATAAGAATGTAGAGAGCCCCAAATTGAAACCTTGTACAGTAGAATCGATTTGAGAGTGAATGTTGGATTTATTGCTTCCATTTCCCGGTTCGCCTACCCTTTAGTTACCCTAGTCGATGGATTCAAGCTTTCACGAAAAACCCTAGGTAGCAACTGATAGAGACAAAAAGGATGGGGCGAAGGTAGGATTAGAACCGATTTCAAAGAGTAACAATATATTTCACTGAAAACCCTTTCCCGGTTTGCTTGACCATTGGTTACCTCAGTCGATCGATTCAAGCTTTCAATAAAAACCCTAGGTAGCGACCGAGAGAGACAAGAGGGAAAGGAAGGGCACGCAAACAGTTAGGGAAATCAAGAGTGCAATGCTCGTCCTTGTTAGGTTGAAGATGAAAGATAGATAGAAGATAGAAAAAAAAGGCGGGTTTTCAAAATTTTGGGGATTTCATTTCCCCCTTGTCTACTAAAAGCGCGTTTCATTAAAATTATAAAGCGACAGGTACAGACGACGCGCGTTTAAGATAAAGCGCCCTCCGTGTTTTTAATTTTTTTTTCTTGAGACACTAAATTAAGGGCACGCAATAAAGCGTGACGTAAATACTTAAATTTTTTAGAGAGATAACACTATTTTAAGGGCACGTCCTTTTGCGTATCGTTAATTATCGCGTGTCATAAAAAGCGCGTCATTAAAGGTCTTTTTTCTAGTAGTGCCTACTACTGGTGGCCGACGATGAAGTTGGATGTTGCAAAGTATGTGGCTGAGGATGTGACTTGTGCGAGAGTCAAAACACAACATCAGAAACCGTATGGGAGTTTAGAACCTTTACCTGTGCCTATGGGTAAGTAGGAAGACATTGCTATGGATTTTATGACTAAACTACCCAGAACAAAGAATGGTCACGACATGATTTAGGTGGTCGTTGATCGATTCACTAAGAGTGCGCATTTCATAGCAGCCAGGGAGAAATGGTCTATGGAAAAGCTTGCGAATTCTTATGTGAAGGAAATTGTGAGACTTCACGGTGTTCCGCTAACAATTGTGTCGAATCGTGATAGTCGTTTCACCTCAAGGTTTTGGAAATGTCTACAAGAGGAAATGGGTACCAAGTTATGTTTAAGTACAGCTTACCATCCGCAGACTGATGGTCAGAGTGAAAGAACAATACAAACACTTGAAGATATGCTGAGAGCATGTACCTTAGAATTCCTAGGTAATTGGGATGAACAATTACCATTGGTAGAATTTTCCTATAACAATAGTTTTCACTCGAGCATTAAGATGGCACCTTACCAAGTTTTGTATGGACAAAAGTGTCGTACGCCGTCTTGTTGGCTTGAGGCTGGGGAAAAGCAGTTTATGGGACTGGAGATGGTTCATCAAACTGCTGAAAAGTTGAAAATATGTTAGCGGCTCAGGATCGTCAAAAGAGCTATGCTGACAGAAAGCGAAGACCGATAACTTTTGAAGTTGGGGATTCGGTTTTGCTTAAAGTCTCGCCGTGGAAGGGACTTATAAGATTTGGTAAAAGGGGAAAGTTGAGTCCAAGGTTTATTGGACCGTTTAAAGTTCTTCATAGGATTGGGAACCAAGCTTACAAGCTCGAACTACCAGAAGAACTGAATGGAATTCATAACACTTTTCGTGTGTGTTATTTACGAAAGTTCACGGGGGAAGTTCCCGACATGATTCCACTTTCAGAGTTGAAAATTGATGAGAACAAAAGGTTGATTGAAGAACCAGAGGCAATTGTTGACCGAAAGACTAAGAATTTGCGACGCAAGATGGTCGAGTTAGTGCTTGACCGATGGAAACACACGAATGGGTCGAATCTCACCTGGGAGACGGAGAGTGACATGTTGAGTCGCTATCCGCATTTGTTTGTTGATGTGTGATTCCGGGGACAGAATCATTCTAAGGTGGAGAGAATTGTAACGCCTGTATTTCTGGGCGTGCCATTTTTAGCAATGTGATAGTCTAGGTTAACCTTTGTAAACCGTTTTGAAATAATAGAAGTGTATTATTTGAGTATTATGTGTTTTGTGCTTAATTGCTTAATTATGTGGTTTGATTAATGAAGAATAAAAATAAGCGTAAAAATTTAAGTGTAAAATAAACTTGATATCTTTAGATAATGTTGTAGTAGTTGAAATAAGGTTTCCGAAGATATAAAGAATGCCGAAATCCGAGTTATAACGAAGAAGTTATGACCTGTCGAAGTTTCGCGACAAAACCGGCAATGCTGAATGACATAAAAAGTGAAATTTACGTTAGAGCGATATTTAGCCTTAGTGATCTAAACGAGAATCAAAGATCTCGTTGTTAGTATGAAAGCGATAAAAAGTTAGGCGAGAACGGACG